GTTTTCGGTTCCTTCCCACTGTTGTGGACTGCTTGCGGACTGCTGAAGCTTATAGGGAATCCAGATGTTTTGGATTGTTGGGTGTTTCTGTTTCTGCCTTTGTGAAGCGCTATGAGATGACTTGTTGTTGTAAATATGCGCTATACAAATAAAATTGAATTGAATTGAATTAAAGAACTAAAGAAAGGAGTCTAAAACGGGCAAAGACAGTCTGAAGGAGAGTCAAAACTAGAGGAAGGCAAACACAGTCAGTAGGGCAGCCTGGAGGAATGTGGGGCAGCCCAGCCATGGGGGATGGAACCAATCTGGAAGTCGGCTGCGACGGAGATGAAGCTTCTCTGGAGGCCTGGTGGGAGGCAGGCAAAGGTGGCAGTGAGACATAGCCAAATACATGGCCATAGATACATGGAATGTATCTCCTTCTGACTCTGGAGCTTGGGCGAGACCTGCAGGCTCTGGAGTTGCCTCTGGAGCAGGGGGAACGTCTGCAGACCCTGGCAGAGCCCTGGACTTGATACTGGTTGACACAGAATCAAATAAGATGGTGTTGAACCTCCATGGTGCTGGGGAGCTGTGAGGTCTGGTGTTGTCAGGAGCCACACTTCTTTCTCGAAGGCCTTTCAGAAAGTAGCTCCACGGAATCTTGGGGAGCATGATCAGACAGGAGCTGATTGGGTTAGTGTGGGGACTGTTCAGTCCAAGAACTTTGTCCAGCAAAAACAAAACAGACAGAACTAGATGAAATGGAAAGAGGGGGTGACTGGGAGCCTCCTCTGTGTAGGGAACCTCCCCGACCCTTGGAGGTTGGTTTAAAGGGAAGGCAGGTTCCCCAGAAAGGAGAATCCTTGGCAGTATCACAAGTGGTATCTGAAAGGTTACTCGGGGGTGGTGTTGACAGGATGCTAGCAGGCTGGAGTTTAGCTGATACAGGAGGTGAAGGTTCCTGGTAGCTAACAGGAACAAGCTGATCACACCCACTGTAACCGCCTGTGGGGCTGGCTGAGAGCTTGCAGGCCAAAAATTGGCTAGCTCTGGAGTGGGCAGGGAATTAGCATGCTGGAGGCTAGTAGACAGTGGAGCTGACATGAGGGAAGTAGGCTGGAAAACAAGGGTGTTAATGAACTCAGGTAGTACCACCATAAACCAGAGCTTTCCACAGCTTCTTTGTGCACCACAAACAGTGCTGCCTCTTTGTGTCTCATATTAGGGGCTCTCTTTTATTCCCAATATAAACAGATGAGAGAATTAAAAATAACAATAAGACTCATCATCCTCAAAGAAAATGTCTGCTGGGTCTATTTTTGGCTGGATGGTACAGTCACGGATTTATGGAGAACCCAGGCGCAGATGCTAATGCGGACGAGAGTAGAAAATCAGTAAAGAAAGTGTTTATTTAACAATTGCTGAAATGCATGATAGATACATGTACAAGGATCAAAGAACAGACAACCAAACTATCCAGGGCAGTGAACTGAGGAGAGGTAACAGGCAAGCTAAGTAAACAAAAGGCTGGTTCACTCTAGGGAAGTGAATACTGAAATCCAACATACAACACTCTCAGGTCAGGACCAGGCAAGGAACACTGAACACACGAGTCAATGATCACAAACACACAGAGCTACAAATGTACTGGGGAAAACATGAGATGTCAGTTATAGATAGAGCTAGGAGACATGAATAAAAGCTTACCAGAAATGGACAGTTACTAGGAATAACAAGAAGGAAATTGCAAGGTTAAAAATGGACATAGATGGATAAAAACATGGACATAATGATCAGTAATATCCCATGTCTGCTTTTTTTCCCCAGAGAAAACGTGTCCTGCAGGATGGATCACGTCGGGTTGTACCTGTTATCTCCTCTCTCAAGAGTCTGGTTCCTGGGATGAAGGCAGGAAGGACTGTAAAGGCCGAGGAGCAGATCTGGTGGTGATAAACAGTCCTGAAGAACAGGTACAGTGTGATTTAGTGTGTTCGCAAATGAATGTGAAAATTCATCCCCTATAAATCCTCTACGTACATCAGTTTGCCCAGTTTTATAGAAAGTATTGGCGTGTTCCCTTCCAGCATGTTTTAATGAAGCCATTGTATGTATTAGATCAGTTTTTCCAAACATTAAAACGTGCCTAACAACAGATATTTTCTGTGATTTTCTGCAATACAGAATAAATGAAGCTGTTCGTCCTCAAGATAACATTAGTTGAGGGTCAAGCAGTAAAGCTGCATAGACATCCACTGCATTTTTAGCTTTTCTCGTACACCTTTCCTGCCTGACTCGAGAAACATGACAAAAACCTGTGATATTTGGTGCATTGTTTTGTCACAGTCCCCTTATTCTTTTCACCAAGTTTTGTGTTTTTGTTGCTCTCTAGTGTGACAAAGTTGGAGATGTGTTTCCACTCAAAGCTTTTGAACCATAAGCCAAATATTCGTAACAGTTTAAAGCATCCCATGATGTTTTTTTCAGCTGTATTTGATTGTCCATTGTTTTGGATTTTATGCAAAAGTTTGACTGCATACATTTTTTCCCCAATCTGTCAAAACTGCTGTTGATGATCTTCAGTTCAAGCCTCACAAAAGCCATCATACAGATTTTTGATTTTCGAAAATTCATCCATCAAAGCCACTTGAAAGATTAAATCCTGAGTTTTCACTCCTACGACGGTGGTTCACTTCTTTCCGGGTTACATCACCATGGTAACTCATGCTGAACGGCTAACCTGCTCCGCACCAGGTTGTGTTGGAGATTGAGATCACTGGGTATAAAAACACCACCCACTGAAAATCAGTTCTCTCCTGTAAAACTTCAGAAGGAGTAGAAAACGAAGCAGTTCCCAACAAAATGGCATCACCATTTATAGTTCAGACAGGACATTATCCATTTATTTGGGATCACATGCATTTGAGTTTGGCGGTGACTCTGCTCGAGTGATGCTCTGGAACAGTCTGAGCAAGCATGACACAGATAGTCCCTGAGATCATAAACCCCCCGGCAGGGCCTTAAATTTGCAATATTCAAATACAGTATACAGTATAAGCACAAGAACAAGGAGACCAACTAAATGATCCTCACTTTACAAAATCCAGATTACATAGTTCTGTGTACAGTAATGAACCATCTGCATCCTGTAGTCCCACAATATGGGAAACAACCAGGGTTATTCAGTTCAATTCTCAATTCAATTTTATTTGTATAGAGCTGTTTACAACATATGTCATCATTTAGCGCTTAGCATGAAGACCTTACAAATTGAACCGTTTTAAAAAAGGGGGGTGGTTGGGGAGGAGGAGGAGATTTGTCGATCAGCA